GTTTTTCTTGGGAAGAGACCAGGATCAAAGGAAATACCATTGGGCATCACTTGAAACCATGAGCCTACTCTATGATGAAGGAGGTGTGGGGCTCAGAAGACTCACAAATATTTGCACTTCTCTTCAATATAAGCAATGGTTGAATTTCAGGGCTAATTCTTCTCTATGGGGTCAATTCCTCAAGTCCAAATATTACCAGAGAGCCAATCCAGTCGCAAAGAAGGTGGACACTGGTCAGTCCTTAGTGTGGAGATACATGACGAAGAATAAAACAAGTGGAGGATCATATCACCTGGAAAATTAAGTCTGGAAGTCGCTCCTTTTGGTGGGATGATTGGCTAGGAGTAGGTGCTCTTGCTAATTACACCACCAACATTTCCAGCCTCAATAATGCCACTACTGCTCACTTTCTAGTCAATGGAGAATGGAATGAAAGAAAGTTGCGACAACAGGTTCCACCACTACTCATACCTCATATTTTGAGCACAAATTTTCAATACCAACAAGGAGAGAAAAACACTGCAGTCTGGAAGCCAAACGATTCTGGAATTTTTTCTTGTGCTTCAGCATGGGAAATTTGCAGACTTGAGAAGAATAATGCAGTGATCAATTCACAGATTTGGCATAAGCATATTCCCTTCAAGATGTCCTTTCTCGTTTCGAGAGCACTTAGATATAAAATACCAACTAACGAAGAGTTGGCAACCTTCGGAGTGGAGCCAGTGAGATGTTTCTGTTGCATGCAGAAAGGATGGGATGAAGTGGACCATATCTTCAATGAAGGACCCTTTGCAACTCATATATGGACATTCTTTTTAAGTCCAATGGGTGTTACTTTCCAACAGTCCTCATTGAGTAATCATCTATTGAGATGGAATGATATTCAAGGAAAGAATGAAGCCCACAAAATTCTCATCAAAACTCTTCCCATAGTGATCTGCTGGAACCTGTGGAAGAATAGATGCTCAGCTAAATACGGGGGAAAAAAATTCAGCAACAGCAGGGTCAAATACATGATCCTCAAAGATACTCTCCACCTGCTCAAAACTATTTTTCCTTATATTTATTGGCCTGCACAGTGGACAAAAGTAGTGGACCTGATCGAGAGCTGCAAACATGATGTTAAAGTTACTTCAGTGATTTGGAAAACACCCTCTCCTAGCAGATACAAGCTTAACACAGATGGTAGTGCTTTGCACAATCCTGGGAAGATAGGAGGGGGAGGCATTCTACGAGATGAACAAGGAGAGATCATTTATGCATTTGCTTTACCTCTCGGTGAAGGGACCAATAATCAGGCAGAAATTCAAGCTGCCAGTTATGGTCTAAACTGGTGCATTCAGCATGGATACAACAATATTATTCTTGAGGTAGATTCTGAGCTTTTAACTAGGTGGATATTGCAAACCTCTACTTCCCCTTGGAGGATTCAAAAGTTTGTACAGGAGTTCCAAAACATTGTTAGCCAATGTGAATTCTTTCAATGTGATCATATATACAGAGAGGCCAACAGTACTGCTGATTTCCTGTCCAAGCAGAGTCACAAAAAGACATCATCCAACATTACTACACTTACAATCAATTGCCACACGCAGTACGAGGTAGCTATATTCTCGAGAAAATGGGAGTTCAAAGTTTCAGAAGGAATAGGTTAAAAAGAATTTAAAAACCCCCTTGATTTAAGGATAGTTTTTTATTAGGTTCTTGCTTTTTATTCTTTCCTTTGTATGGGGAGAGTCTCTCTTATTTATGTTTTCCTAGAATCTTTGTATTTAGAGGAGTCCTCCCCTTAGGTACGTAGTTATAGGTTTTCCCCTTTATAGTATGGGAATGAGTCGACTAACCTTAGTAGGTAGGTCGACTTATGACCCGCCATAGGATCGGAGGTTAGGTTTATGTCCCCCTCCTTGTACCTTTTTTGAGCTCTTTTGAGCTTTTATTTATGCTAAGGCCTGGGGGTGTTGCTAAGCCCCTGACCCCCCCCCCCCCCCCCAAGGGTCAATCAAACAAAAAAAATATTAAAAAAATATTTTATAAAAATAAAAATCCTAGACCCTATACCCTAAACCCTAAACCATAAACTCAAAACTCTAAACCCTAAACCCTAAACCCTAAAACCTAATCACTAAATCCTAAACCGTAGCTAAATCCCAAACACTAAACACTAAACCCTAACCCTATAAACTAAACACTAAACCCTAAACCCTAAAACCTAATCCCTAAATCATAAACCGTAGCCCTAAACCATTAATCCTAACCTAAAACCTAAACCTTAAAACCTAAACCCTAAACCCTAATCTGAAAACACTAAATCCTACACCGTAAACCCTAACAATAAACCCTAAACCCTAAATCCTAAACCTGAAACCCTAAACTCTAAATCCTAAATCCTAAACCCTAAACCCAAACCACTAAATCATAATCCCTAAACCCGAAACCCAAAACAATAGACCCTAAATCCTAAACCCTAAATCCTAAACCCTAAACCCTAAACCTTAAACCCTAAACCCTAAACCCTAAATCCTAAATCCTAAACCCTAAACCCTAAATCCTAAACCCTATACCCTACACCCTAAACTTTAAACCATGAACCTAAAACCCTAGACCCTAAACCGTAACCCTTACATCCTAAATCCTAAACTCAAAACCCTAAACCCCAAACAATAAACCCTAAACCCTAACGCTAAATCATAAATCCTAAACCTTAAACCCTAAACCCTAAACCTTCAACCTTAAAGACTAAATCCTAAACCCAAAATACTAAACTCTAAACCCTAAACCCTAATTCCTAAACTGTAATCCCTAAACCCTAACCCTAAACCCGAAACCCTAAACCAAAAACCCTAAAATCTAATCCCTAAACCCTAAATCGTAGCCCTAAACTAATAATCCTAAACCTTAAACCAAAACACTAAACTCTAAATCCTAAACCCTAAACCCTAACCCTAGACCTTAATTCCTAATTCTAAATCTTAAACCCTTAACTCTAAACTATAAACCCTAAGCCCTAAGCCTCAACCCTAAATCCTCAATCCTAAATCCTAATCCCTAAACCATAAACAATAAACCACAAACTCTAAACCCTAAACCCTAAACCCTAAACCTTAAACCCTAGGCCTAAACCATTAATCCTAAACCCTAAACCTTAACACTAAACCCTAGCCCTAAACCTTAAAACCTAGCCCTAAATAATTAATCCTAAACCATATTTCTAAACCCTAAACTGTAAACCCCATACCCTAAATCCTAAACCCAAAACCCTAAACCCTATATCCCAAACCCCAAACCCCAAACCCCAAAACCAAAACTCGAAACCCTAAACCCTAAACCCTAAATCCTAAATCCTAAACCTATACCCTAAAACCCAAACCGTAAACCCTAGACCCTAAAATTTAAATCTAAACTCTAATCCTTAAACCCTCAACCCTAACCCCTAAATCTTAAATTCTAATCCCCAATCCCTATATCCTAAACACAAAATCGTAAAATCTAAACCCTAACCCTAAACCCTAAACCATAAAATCTAAACCCTAAGCCTAAACCCTAAATCCTATATCCTAAACCCTAAATCCTAGACCCAAAATCCTAAATCCTAAACCCTAAATCCTAAACCCAAATCCCTAGAACCTAAAACCTAAATCCTAAACACTAAACCCTAAACCCTAACCCTAATCCCTAAACCCAAAACTATAATCCCTAAACCATAAACCCTAAACTCTAAACCCTAAATCCTAAAACCTACTCCCTAAACCCTAAACACTAACCCATAAACCCTTAATACTAAACCTAAACCCACAACCCAAAATTGTAAACCCTAAACACTAAACCATAAAGTAAAAGCCCTAAACCCTAAACCCTAGAGGCTAAATGTTAAACATTAATTCCTAAACCCTAACCCTAAACCCTAAATTATATTCCCTTAACCAGAAACCCTAAACCTTAAACCCTAAACTCTAAACCCTAAACCCTAAATCCTAAACCCTAACCCTAAACTCTAAATCCTAAATCCTAAATCCTAAACCTTAAACCTTAAACCCTAAACCCTAAATCCTAAACCCTAAACCCTAACCCTAAACCCTAAACCCTAAACCCTAATCCCGAAACTCAAAACCTTAAACGATAAATACTAAATCTTAAATTGTAAACCCGAATACCTAAACTCTAAACTCTAAGCCCTAAACCTAAACTTGAACCCTAAATCCTAAACCTAAACCCTAAACCCTAAACCATAAATCATAAACCCGAATACCTAAACTCTAAACTATAATCCCTAAACCTAAACCCTAAATCCTAAACCTAAACCCTAAACCCTAAACCCTAAACCCAAATCATAAACATAACCCTAAATCCAAAACTCAAAACCATGCACCCTAAACACTAAACTATAAACCCTAATCCCTAAACCCTAAACTCTAAACCCTAAACTCTAAACCCTAAACCCTAAACCCTAAACTCTAAACCATAAGTCATAAACCCAAAACCCTAAATCCTAAATCCTAAACACTAAACCATAAACCCTAAACCTTAACCCTAAACCTTACATCCTATATCTTAAATCCTAAACCCTACACCCTAAACCTTTAACCCTAAAAGCTAAACTCTAAACCCTAAACCCTAAACCCTAAACCCAAATCATAAACATAACCCTAAATCCACAACTCAAAACCATGCACCCTAAACACTAAACTATTAAACCCTGAACCCGAAGCCCTAAACCCTAAACCATAAACCCTAAACCCATAAACCATCGCTTCCTCATTTCTCAATTTTTTTCTCTCTCTAAAAAATTTGCGCACAAACTTAGTTACACCAGGCGAAAATACACAGTTCACCGGAATGGCCACAGAGCTGCCGGGGAAGCAGCTCCGACCACCGGAGTAGTCTCATTCGACGCGCAATTCCAGTATGAACAAACCCCAACAGGGCGCTTCACCAGATTCATCAGACAACTCTTCGAAATTGCAAAGAACTGAAGCGATCCATGTCGCAATTTCTGAAGAAGAGTTGGACTGGGCTCGAAAAATTTTGTCCCTAGAGCAATTTGGAATGATTCGTGTTAACTCAACTGGGTATCATGAATCTACACCTAAAGATCTACCTACAGTCCAAAAATCAAATGATTCCATCGCCCAAATCGCGAGATCTACGAAGGCGATTTCTAGGGAAATTGTCGCGAAATCGCCAGAACTGCGCCCCCAAATTCGAACAACTTCTGATGAGATAAATGAAACTCCAACCACTGGGGAATCATCCCCAGGTCAAGGAGTACATCTTACTGAAAATTTGGATCATTTTGACGGTAAAATCTCCGGCGACATAAATTCCGACAAAGACGCCGGAGCTCCGATCAGCTATGTCAATGCAAGGTCACACCAAATGAACCCTGGTGCGGAGGATAACCTTCGGAAGGTAAGAGAACACCTGAATCATCAGCTACATATTAATGTTGGCTCTTCTAATCTGCAGGAATAATCTATAACCAATGTTGCTGATCATCACAAAGGAGAGGAAGGGGGATCAATTCGAAGGACTAGTGTGTTGCATCAAGATCACAACCAGGGCAATGAATTTACTTCAAACCAAATTATGCAACCATTACAACAAGACCAAGAGAAGCTGTTCACAATGGACTTCACTGATGGCAAGGTACAGGGGAAAATGCAGGGGAATCAGGAACAACTAGCAAATGATGAGGCTCATTCAGGGACATCTAAAGACAAACAGCATGGCAATGGGGAGAAGACCAAATGGAAAGTTAAAGATACCATAAACTCCAATGCAAATACAATGCAACAAAGCAAAGATAATGGACGGATACAGCCAGACAATACCAACAAGGAGAGGAAAGGTAAGCTCGTTAATTTCGCCCCTAATGTTGCTGATCATAGTGACACTTCTAGGAATAAATTGTATATTGGTCAAAATGAGCTTGGGAAAGGTCGAGTTGTTGTGCAGACTGATCGAAACGAGGTTACGGGACAAGCTGGGGAACTCAGTCATATGAGCCTTGATATCGATCCCAAAATCCTCCCACCACCCCTCAAAGTATCCTCAAACTTTGATAGCTACAGACCTAACCAGCCAAGAACTAACCAAACTAGCCCAAAACAAAACCAACACAAACCTCTTGTTAATAGCACTTTTTTAAAAAATGCTAATCATCAAATCCCGGATCCTTCCCCCCCCCCCCACTATCTTCCAATCCTTAGCTACTCGACTCAAAGCCATCCAAACCAAAAATTCAGTCCCCATGGACATAATCTCTCCTATTATTACTACTAGACAAGGATACCCCTCTATAACTTTTCATGAAGAAGATTTCATGCAAAAAATGCCGGGAAGATGTAAATATACTCTTGTAGGTAAATTTACTAATGCTATGCCCAAGATGGAGGTCATTAGAAGGAGTTTCGTTGCTCAAACTCAGCTCACTGGAGGGGTTAAGATTGTGCATTTTAACTCAAGGCATATTTATATTGATTTGGATAATGAGGCTGATCATATTTCAGTCTGGACAAAACAGAAGATGTTCATTGCAGGTCATCCTATGAAGCTACAGGTGTGGACTCCTACATTTAAACCTGCTGAGGAAACTCCTATCGTGCCAATCTGGATCACCCTACCCGAGCTCCCATGGCATTGCTACTATATGGAC